GTGTGGAGCCTACTTAAAAATTAAAAAAAGATTTTTTTTTAATAAAAAAAGGCACCTGCCAGGAGTGCATAGAACTAGAGGACGGCTCTCAGGGAAAATGGAAGTCTCCCCCCTCCCAACCAAGCTTCCCTAGTCCTGCTGGTTCCACCTGATTCATCTTGTCAAAGTCCAAAGAAGGCCGCAGCCGCCGGGGGTCCTCCTCGTGGCGCCGCTTGACTCCAGCTTTGCGGGCATCCAGATCACAGGGTTGTGAGCGGCTGCGGGGAAGACTGCGGAGGCCTCGAGGTCGCCAGGGCAGCTCTGGGGAGGAGGCAGGGGAGCTCCGGGCAGAGGGCAAGAAGCGGCTTGCCTGCGGGCCCAGGCTGGGTGACAGGGAGAAGCGGCGCTGGGGCGGGCAAGGTGACAGGGACTCAGCATCACTCTCCCAGGAGCCACTTTGTGGGGAGGTGGCACAGGGTCGAGAGGAATCTTGGGCCAGGGCCAGGCTGAAGAAAGGGGGACTATAGGGTCTGTGGGCCGGGGCACACTGAGAAGAGGCACTGGGAGCTTGGAGGAACCTGAGGCTGGAGACCCGCTTTGGGGGGCTCTGGTGAGGCACCTGCGGCCCACCCCCTCCACCACTGCCCCGGTGCTTGATGGGAGTCCACAGCTTGGAGGGGGCGGGCCGCCACACCGGCTGCCAGCGAGACAGGTCCACGGGCACTGAGAGTGAGCGGCAGTGCCTCTTGGATGGAGGGGCAGGGGGCACAGGAAGCTTCTCTGGGTCTGGGGGTTCAGGGCTTAGGACTTGGGAGAGGGGCTGCTCCTGTGGGGAACTTCCCGGGCTGGGTGGTCTGAGGTGCAGGCTCAAGCCTGAGGGGTGGTAGCTGAGGTTGAGGCTGTCCTGGAATTCAGCACAGGAACAGTGGGGCAGGCCCCTCCAGGAAGCACCTTCTGGAAAGCATTCATAATAAAAATAGTATTAATGAGAGTTAATGTATTTTTAAGGGCTCACTATTTGCCACACAATGTAATGAGCACTTTAGCTGAGGTTTCCCCAAAACCTCACTATCCCCATTTCACTCACAGATGACAGATGTCCAGTTACTGGACAGTAACTTGTCCAAAGTCATGTAGGAATGAAAGACCAAAGGAGGAGTCAAACCCAGATCTGTCTGATGCTAAGGCTAGGTTTCTTAACCACTATACGATACTGCCTCCATTATGAGGAAGCATCAGAAACCGAAAATAGTCCCATATACTGCCTGCCACTCCCTCTCAAAGGTAGACCAATTCAAGAGAAGTAAATGCACGTGTGCCCTGCTCATCCCTCACTCCATCTAACACTACTCTGCTCCCCTACGCACCAGCCCCAAGTTGTGAAAAGCAGGCCCATGCTCTTCTTCCTTAGGTTTCCCCTTCCTATGTGTCACCAGCACCAAGACAGGAGTTAGGGCTACCAAGGAATAAGAGGTAATCAAGCAGGATCATTTTTATTACTAGAGAGTGCAAACAGGGTAGGGAAGGCCTTTGACGGTGGAACCCGTGCTTGGGAAACCCTAAGACTATTCATGTTCCTTTGTGTCTGGCCATCCACAAAGAAATACTCAAATTAACACACTGATATGGAAAGATCTTCTAGCTATATTATAGTTAAGTTTAAAAAAAAAGTGCAAATAATATATATAGTATGCAACCTTTTGCAAGAATAAAAAACACACACTTATAGATAAACTCTAGATGGACAGACAGAGTAATAACCAGAGCTGCTTTTAGGGAGGTGGTGGGAGATGGATGGAGAAAGGAGACTTTTCTCACTGTAAACTTATTATTTTAAAATTTTTGAACTACATGAACATACTACCTATTAAAAAAAAATCAGACTGGGGGACAAAAAAATAAAAACAAACAAACAAAACCATATTATCAAAGTCCCATCAAGGCTCGAGGGAGAGCCAACTAAACAAATAACTTCCACGCTGGGGCAGTAAAATGGAGACAAGTGTCAATCTCAACAGGTGGCCCTGGCAAGAAAGTTGTGGAGGTCACTGGAAACCAGTGCAAGAAAGGTGTGGACGGAAGCATGGGAAGACACACAGACACACACACACAATGCCTTACCAGACACAAGCTGGAAAGGGTTCCCACAGTTGGAGATGTCTGCATGATCAGGCAGAGGCTAAAAGAGAGAGAATATCCATCATGATTCAGGTTCAGCACACGGATTTCCAGGAAGCCCTCTTCAGCTCACCTCTGGAATTCATGAGCTATAGAGATGTGAGGGACTCCTAAATGTTCTCTTCTTCTTGTCTTCCCAAAGTTAGTAAAATAATCCACATCTTCCAACATCTACAAACCCTTCTCCACCCAAGTTTTGATGTCCCTTCTCTATCAATGGAAAAATACCTGCCCCCTTCCTTTTGGGCTGGGTTTTGAGCCTTTAGTAGGCTCTTCCAGTACAAGTACCATGACTCATACGGCACAGGACATGGGTAAAGTAGTAGCAACAAAGAGCCTCAGAAAAAAGGGGGAGGGGGTTGTAGAGAAGCAGGAAGACTGGTCTTTTACCAGACTGATGCTGAAGCGTGTGCATTTCAGCTCATCCAGAGTCTGCTTCTGTAGCTGCTCAGTGATCAGGGTTATCATGATTCTCCCCAGGATCTGACTTGCACACTTTGGAGCAAATGATGGATGTCTTCCCTGTCGTTCTTCCAGACCTCACTCGTGAGCCGTCTTCTGCCACTGCAGCACCATTCTAGCACCATTGGGACTTCCCTCTCCAGTCATGCCTGCTGAGTCTGCCAATTACAGAGGGACCAGCCCCAAGTGATATTAGAAATGTACCTGGCCCAAAGGTGGAAAATGCATGGCACACATACCACAGCATCCCTATGCCAGGCCTCTGGCAGACATCATTACTTGATCGCAGTTTTTCCTGCTAAGCCTAAACACAGCCTCAGAAACATCCTGAACTTGGCACTCCAGTTAACCAGTAAAGTGAACTGGAGTTAGCAAGCATGTTGAAACCTATTTGCCACTCCTAACCTGGTTCATGCTGTGCTTTGTCTACCCAGCGTACCAGCACCAGTTAAAAAACAGCTTAAGTGAGAGAGGAATGCCCAAATGGTTACTTCCATCCTGATTACCCCAATATTTTATCTTCCAAACAGAAACAGAGAGGTACCCTTTTCCTAAACTACAGAAATAGTAACAGGGAACAGGGAGGAGCACTGGTTGTAGGAATGACTTTTTGCTTCAGACCAATCAAAGTAAACAAAGTTTTATGTTCTCCCCTAGCCTGAATGTTTGATATATTATTGTTTTCCAACAGATACTGTATATATTCTCTTATAAGATGGTAAGAAGATAGAGAAATGGCACCAGGATTTTTCCAATTACATTTTAACTCTATACATGTTAAAAACAACAACTGTATGACTTCATTCAACTAAGTTTTTAGCCTGATCTCACTCAAAGACCATGGATTCAATTAATCAAGAATCCTTCTCATGGTCAATTTCAGCATAAGCAAACTAATTCTGTCAGAGAACAGGCTTCAAGCCCACACAATTGCCTAAGGGGCCTTACTCAATGGAGGAAGGGAGGATAACCTAGTGTTTCCATATGGTTCTGCCTATTCCCAGAAATGACCAGCAGGCAGACTGCTCATCAGAGGGTATACGTAGCATTCTCTAGTAGATACAACAAGCATTCAAGAAATCTAAGTCTTGCTCCAATTTGCTATGACAGTTCTGGGAAATGACTTTTCTTGGCCTTAGTTAATGTACATGTAAAATGGGCAGAATAAATCTCTTATTATTCTGTCACGGGTACAATATAACACGAAATATCAAAATGCAAAAAGCATACCATCCAGCCTGTACAAATCAGGAGTCCACATAAGACTGCTGTTTCTCAAACCCTCCTGTTTGTTGCTCTACACAGCCTAAGAATGCCACAAGTGATAATATCATTAAAATGAATAAGACAATTGGGTGTATCTATTTGGCTGGATGCCAACCTCCCTCACCTGAACACCTAAGGAAGCCCAAAACGGCTCTCCTGTGACCTTGGAGGCAGATCACTTTCTACTTTTGCAGAAAGAATCATCTCTACCCCATTCCCACCTCGGAGACAGGTAGGTAAGGAAGAGCAAAGAACTACATGTAGATGTATCTGCAGTTTTTTTGGATGCTGTGGGAGAAGTCAATCATCATTACAGTTAACTATCATTTTCATGCATAATTATTATTACCACCCTGAACAAAGTTCCAGCTTCCTGAGAGCTCCCTTCAGCAGCTTCCCCTATGTTCTTGTGGGAAAAGCTAAAGCTTATATCACTTCTGCTCTTGGTTTCTTAACTCTGCCCCCAAAAGATCAACTAGAGACGAAACCTAACTGCAGGCTTTTTACCCCAGAGATCCCAGGCCTCAGGCTGACCAGCCATGAAGAGCAGGGAGTGAAGCAAACTCTTTCAAGCTTTTCATGAGGCATTTGGCCAAACAGCAAACTCCCAGCCCTCTCTGGGATCAAGTGAAGAGAGTGATTTTGTGTTTTTCTGCATTTTAATTGTTGGGATGTGGCCACACACGGCGGTAATTGGAACAATGCAACTACCACCACGCAACTGATACTCTCAGCCTGAGTTTCCTAAAACAGGCCTGGCTGAGAGGGGGAACAGAACGGAAGCCATAAGGAATCAAACCAGGACACAAAAGAAGGCAAACCAGCTCCGCGAGGGGCCTCCTCTTTCTCAGGCAGGCATAGAAAAAAGTGTAAGCAACCCTCTCTTGCCGCCTTCCTTCCCCTTCCATTTTGTATATCTGAGGGGCAGAGACAGCCCTGAACGTTCACTAAACAAGTTAAAACTTCTCAGCTTAACAACTGGCACAGGACTCAGCCCTTCACAGAGCACCAGGCCGTTAGGCCCTCCCCACGGCCCCACCAGGCCCAATTCTCAATCCAGGCTTTCCCTCCACCATCAGCCCCCTAAAATAAAGACTGGACCCCCACCCCATCTCCTATTGGATGGCAGGAGCCCCTGACATTCGGGTTTCAGGGATGCTGAGGTTGTGCTGAAACCTGGAGAACCTAGGATCAAGTCAGACCAAGGGGGAGGAGAGTCACAAATCCCCTGGGGACCTTCCCCCCATGTCCCAGCCCCACACCTCTGGGGGTCACTAAAGAAAAACATGAGGGAGGCAGGGAGGTGCGTGAACAGGTAAGTGGGGACCTGACTGCTCTTCCTCCATATGGCTCTGGCGGGGATAGGGGTGACAAGTGGGGAGCACCCCTCCCCCCACCCCGATGAAGAAGCGAAAGGCTAGGCCCCCCTCCAGTCTTCAACCTCTCCCTCGGTTGCCCTGCCTGTCCCTGCGGGGTGGGGCATGGGGCGTCCGCTAGCCCCTAGGGGGGCACCAGGGCTCGCTCAAGGGGACTGTCTTTCGCCTCTTCCCAATCAGCTTCCATCATCTGGCCACGGGAAGCGAACTCAGGACGCAGGGGATGGAGAGGGTCTGGGACTTAGCACTCCGCCAACCCCTCCCCCACCGGGTCCCGTGCTCTCCCCGCGGAGGCGTCCAGAGAGGCCGTGCCGCGCGCGCGGCCGGGCTGGGGGAAGGGAAATAGGGAAGGAGGGAGGGACAGTCGAGGTGCCCGCCCCGAGGCCCCAGCGCCACCTGCCCTCGCCACCTACCGCGGCTCCTCCAGCTCCCAGGGCCGCGGCCGGAGCAGCTCTGAGCGCTCCGTTCGCCCCACGGTGCCCTTAAAAGGCGCCGGCGCGAACCAACGGGCCCCTAAGGAGAGAGGGGGCATCGCTCTGGTTCGCAGAATCGCCCTGAACCGCCCGCGGAGGCTCGAACCCCGCGTCGTTTCTCTCCCAAAGTCTTTTTTGAAAAGTGCTGTCGGGAAGGAGCCAGGCTGTTTGATTTAGGGATGAACGTGGTTTCTTCACTATCGAGTCACCCCCTCCAAAATATTGCAGAAGGTGGACGGGCCCAGTTGGCGGCACATCTCCAAACCCGCGGGGGAGACCGTGTCGGACGAAGGTAAACAAAACCATTCCCTTCGCCCTCGGTTCCAACATTGGCCCAAGTACGGCCCCCCACTCGATTCGGGCCGCGTAACAGAAATAGCCACAGTTCCTCTTACCTGCTCTCCTCTCCCGCCCTCTACGGCCGCCTCTCAGAAGGAATCCCCCTTCCGCCAGCAGAGGACCCGTCCAAGACGTGAAGGCTTCTGGGAAATGTAGTCCAAGAGCCGATTAGGGCCTGCTCTGAGTCTCAGGAGCCCCTCTTCCAGCTGCCGGATCGCCTCGAACCTTATAAACCCAGGACTGGTAACGGTTGCGGGGCCGTTCCCAATTGGTTCTGTAATTAGCCCTCACTCAAAACACTTTGTAAAGCTGAGGAGGGCCCAGGACTGTTCACGCCTCCTCCTTCCTCTACGCACCCCCACCCCCCAGCAGGATGAGGTAATGGGGTTGTGATTATGACATCATAGGCGGTTCAGTTGCTTGCGGGGGAGGGGGGGAGGGGGGAGTATGGTGGTTACAGCTGGACCACTTTCCTTAAGACTGAAAAGGGAGGGAGGAAGGAAACAGGCAGCTAGGTAAAAGATGTTGTTAGCTATGTACTTCCTCTTCAGGAAGAGGATGCCACCGTTTATTAAATTTCCACCACTACCACCACCTCCCACCTCAGCCAAAGTTTAAGTCTTTTTTGAAAAGACTGAACGTAGACGTTAGTAGGGAAGAGGTTGGGGAACAGCTAAATGGTTACTGGCTCTTACGTAAATTTGAGTCTCAGCTATAAAAGAAGGTTTAGAAAAGCAGGCAAAAATGGGGAAAGAAGTTTTAAACAATGCCTTCGTGTTGTGATCTCTTTTAAGGGCAGTTTTAGATTTTTTTTTTAATCGATTGGGAAGTAGCAGTAATGCAAGTAATCTTCACCGTTACACTTAGCAACACGTCCCTTGAAAGACGTCTGTTTATTTTGTGCCCCACTCAAATCTGGGACAGATAAATAACTGTGATCAACTAGGAAGTAGAACCAGTGGTGGGGATCTTCCTCAGAGAGCCAGGGAAGGGAGTAGGCAGGAGCCACCAAGTCTGCAAACTGAAAAAGAAGAGTAGAGGCAAAATGAGCTATTTATCAAGAAAATGGTAGTGAAGATGCACTGCACATTTTCTTGCACATTTCAAATCCCTTGGCAAAAGAGGCGGCAGGGGCCATGAAGTATAGGAGACATGGTTTCCAATAATTGCTGTTATGGAGCACTTATTATGTGCCAGGCACTGTGCTACATACTTTAAATATGTATTCTCATTTTTTGCTTAGAATCATCAAATGAGACAAATCTCCCTATTTGACATGGTCGGAGAGATTAAGTGACTGCCCATGTGGTGGGCCAAGGTAATATTACAAAGCAGTCCTTGAGGCTCTAAAGCCCTTGGTCTTCACCACTTGGTGATACTCATTTTATTATTAACCATAGTTAATAAAGTTCAGTGATTGAGAATAATAAGTTAGCATTGGCTCATTTGCAAAACATTGAAATAAACAGACTTAAAAAACAAAAACCCAAACCCTTCATGTCAGGTTTCGAGGCCTCATTTCCAAGGAAGATTATACCCCTTTCATCAAGTATAAAATAACCTCCAATGGAGCCCAACTTCCCCACCATTACCAACTACAATTAAATCTCCTTATGCCACCTTCAGTTCTCAGATTTTTTTATTCATGTCCTATTTTTTCCTGCTACCCCATTTTTATTCTTTTTCTTTCTTTCTTTCTGTCTGTCTTTCTTTCTGTCTGTCTTTCTTTCTTTGAGAGAGAGAGAGAGCAAGCGCCCAAGAGGGGGTAGGGTCAGAGGGCGAAGCAGACCCCCCACTGAGCGGGGAGCCCGATGTGGGACTCGATCCCGGGACTCCAGGATCATGACCTGAGCCGAAGGCAGTCGCTTAACCAACTGAGCCACCCAGGCGCCCCTTTATTCTTTTTTTCAACTGCTACCTTGAACCCCATCCTAATTTTTACCTCATGGGTCAGACCCCATCTCTAACCCTGCTCCATGGGTTTTAGAAGAAGATACTACCTGGGCTCCCTTCTGGTCTCCATCCACTGAGGGTTACAGGACCTGGAACCAGTCATCCAGGAGGTCATCCAAACGAGTGGAACCCATTGGCTCTAAGAGACACTCCATTCCCTGCCTAGGAAGGCGGCAGAGTCAGAGGAACATGCATCTCATTCAGACTCTCCCTTTTCAGTAAAAGCTAAATCTCTACAAAGTGAGGAGAGGTGGGGCTCAGTCCACCATTCAAACAAGGAACCAAAAATAATGCACACACCCCTCAGAAACCTGCCCTGCAGGGGCTGGCTGGGGGGGGTCCCAGGAATGTAGGGCTCTTCTCCACTGCCTGATCTGGGTATCCCAAGAGCGACGGCTGTACCTCCTCCTCTTGTTTGGTGTTTGAGGGTGAAGTCCTGGCTGTCGCTTTGCCCTGGCAATGACAAATATGTGTAAGACTCAGGTCAAGATAAATGGGCATAGCTCATTGTTTATCACAGTGAATTCGGAGGCTCCGGGATTTCCTGAGAGTCAGGTAGGACCAATGCCCTCAATTCAATAGGAAAAAATAAATCTTCAGATGGGATTAACGCTAAACTTCCTAATATTCTTCTGGGAAAGGTAATTTAGGTATTCCAACTCTCTTAGAAGTCAAGATAGATATAAAGACTGTATCTGACATCCCTTTAAGATACATACTACCTTTTTATACATTTAGGTTGCATATATGCATGGAAACATGTAATTAGGCAAGTATGTTCTAATTAGCAAAGTCAGCTGGAGGTATGAGGTAAAAATGGTTAGAAAGAAAAAACTTCATAGCAAACTGAATAGAACTTTAAGAACTCTCATGGGCCAGGTATGATTTGTTCCATTTGAAAAAAAAATCTTGTAAATTTATTTTTGGGGCTACATTGCAGGAGAATTAGTTGTAGTAATGATGCAAATTTGTGAGAGCACTCAGATTCTAGTATCTTTCCATCACCCTACATTGAACCAAAGCCACTTGGATGACACTGTTGTTGTGACCACCCACAACTGCACTCACTTGGGGACCTGCTGCAGAAAACACTGGTAACCAGGTGTGCGCTTGCCATAATCTATCTGTTTTTGCCGCCGCTGTAGAACAATTTCATCTGTCTCTACCTCCCACCTGCAGGGGAAGTATATGGTGGCCCCATGAAGTGTGATTATGGTTATCAAAGCAGAAACCAACTCATCCCACACACATTCCCTTAACCCCCAGTCTGGTTTTCAAACTCACCTGGCATGGCAGGGCTCTGTGCTGACTCCCACACTCACCATCTCAATCCCAGAGTACAAAGATTCTTCACACACTTCCTTTCTGGGGAAGCAGATTCTACAGATGAAAGGGGTTTTAGGATAAAACCTAGCTGACTATACTGTACCACCACGAAGATGTGGACACTAGATAAAGGTTGTATTTCTGACTTAACTGTTTCTCAAAGATAAAGGTTGCATTTCTGATTTGTTTCTCAGAGTGGTCTGCAAGACATCAGCATGAGTAGCCCTGGGAGCCTTGATAATTCCTAGGTCCCACTCTCGATTTATTGAATCATCATTTTGGGGGCCTGCATTTTAAAGAGCTTCCAGGTTATTTTGAAATTTTTTTATTATTATGGAAAAATACAGAGAAGAACACAGCATAATGTTTTGCTACTCAAAGTATGGTCCTAGGACCAGCCACATCAGCATCAGTTGCAAGCTTGTTAGAAGTGCAGAATCTTGGGCCCCAACCCAGACCTACTGAATCAGAACCTGCATTTTAACAAGATCTCCAGATGATTAGAATGCATGTTAAACTTTGAGAGTAGTGATATCATGGATCCCCAGTTACCCATCAGCTAATACTCATGGCAAATCTTGTTTCATCTATGCCCACTACTACCCCCACACGATTATTAAAATCTTCAACATTAAAATAAAAGAATAAATTCTTGGGGCTCCTCACTGGCTAAGTCAGAAGACCATGGGACTCTTGATCTTGGGATCCTGAGTTTGAACCCCACGTTGGGTGTAAAGATTACAAAAATAAATAAATAAACTTTAGGGGGGAAAGGGGATAACTTTTTAATATCACTTCATCAGTGTCCAAATTTCCATAAACGACAGAAGATTATAATCCTTTGGACTGTGATAAGGATTATGCCAAGAGATGATTCAATTCCCCCACTTTCCCTCAAAAGAAATTTCCTTTATCCTACATAACCTAGCGTCTAAGAGATGCTGCGCTGTAAAAGAAACACCGAACAAGGAACGCTCTTGGAAGGGGCCAGAGCTGCTCAGCATAAGTACACACACCTGTCTCGTCTCAACATCTGCCATACCAGTGGAGAAGGCTCCATTTCCAACCGAAGTCAAGTAAAACGAAGAGGAAAAGACCCACGTTACGGCACCAGAAAGAAGCAAGGAAAGAGAAACGTTTAAAACACCCTGCATCCAAACAAATCTCCCCAGATATCCTAAAGGGTCATAATCGCTCACGAAGTGCAGTTTAAATCTCCCGGGGTTGGAGGGGCTAAGGGAATGGAGAGCTCGGGAAGGCTGTGGCGATTGGTCAGCGGGAGAGCCAATGGTGTGCCAGGTACCCAGGAGGGCGGGGCTTACCTCTGGGCTCGCTGAACGCTGATGGGCCAATGGGCATCCCGCTCTGTCTGAGGGGCGGGGCAAATTGTGTTCCTGCCAAAGCAAGCTCACGTCTGGTGATGTTGAGCCAAACGATTGGCTATGGGGGGGGGGGCCTCTGGGCGGGCGCGCGCAGATTGGCTGGCGCAGCTTTGAGGTGAATGGGATAGGTTTACTGGGAAGGCGGAAGGTTTGAATAGCCAGGACCTGTGACTGTTGATATTCTTGCACCGAGGCTATAACTTCGACCCTCTCCTGAGAAGCGCAAGCCTCGACCCGAACCTATCCTGTCTAGAAGCAGAATTGTAGTCTAGTTAATTGACTCCCGTCCTCAGATTTCTTTTAATTTTGATTAAGTCTTCGCTTGTGACTGATTTTCCACTTCCGTTTTTCCTGAGGTAAGCGCAGAGCCTTCTCCACCGGAATCTGAGACCCCAGCGTCCCCTCAGTCCGGTCGGGGTCTCACAAACAGAACTTCAGGGGACCTAAATAGTTATTGTCTTGAGTTAAGAGACCTGAATTACTTCCTTGCCTTGAGTCACGAGCTGTGTAGCCCCCGAACAAGTGAAAGCCTCTTTTCATTACTTTTTTAAAGTCTTGGGTTTGGGACGCCTGGCTGGCTCAGTCGATGGAACGTGGGACTGTTGATTTTGGGGCCGTGAGTTCGAGCCTCACGTTGAGTTGTAGACCCGACTTGGGGGAAAAAAAAGTCTTAGGTTTGCCTCCAGTTAAGTCCAGGCTCCGAGGAAAAGGCCAAGCCGTTTGGGGCACGTGCGATTTCGCCTTCAGGCCGACCTGAGATTCATCGGTTGGGATTGGGAAACCCCTCCTCCAATATGAGCCCCTGGGCCACTGCTGGGTAGGGTGGAGGAGCTTATGAAAACTGGGCAGCCTGTGAGGTGCTTGTGTAGATGATGTTAACCTATTAGCTAGGTTTTGTTTTATTTCTTTATTTATTTATTCCCTTCCTTCCTTCCTTCCTTCCTTAGGTTTCGGAGGCCATGTCTGCAGAACTCATTTCCTCCACCGGAGAGGAGGGACGCCTCAGCTCAGGACCCAGTTTTAGATCCCGTCAGAGGAGGATATTAAACTTGCTTCTGGAGAGAGACACTTCCTTTACCACCTGTCCAGATCTCCCTAGAACTCCAGTGAACAAACTCTTTGGTGATTCTGCAAACCTAAGCGTTTTGTCTGGGTAAATTCACTTTTCACACCTTATTTCCTTTGCTTTTATGAATAGTCTTTGGGTTTGTTTTTTTAAGATTTTATTTATTTATTTGACAGAGCACAAGCAGGGGGAGCAGCAGGGAGAGGGAGAAGCGGGGTCCCCGCTGAGTAGGGAGGCCGAGGCAGGGCTCATCCCAGGACCCTGGGATCATGACCTGAGCCGTAGGCAGACGCTTAACCAACTGAACCACATAGGCGCCCCCTTGTTTTTTTTTTTTATTCTTGAAAATTGTCCCGACTCAGAGATCAGGAGTGAAGTTTTAAACCCTGCCCTTCATTAACCATATGACCCTTGAGTCTCAGGTTTCTTTTTTGTGACATAGAAATAACAATCTCTTCCTATCTTACTACGATCTTGTGGGAATCAAATGTTGTGATGTCTGGGAAAAGTCTTCAAAAACTATTGCGTTATATGAGTTGGTTGTTTTATTAGTATTAATATTAGTGTTACTATTATTCTTTAAATTCTGATCATGCCATGCTCTGATGCCTCAGCTAGCAAACAAAGTTGGAGAGTTATAGACCTCAGAAGTACTAGAGACTCCAAGGAGAAATCAAATCTGTGTGCTCACAGTGCAGGGGAGAAGATGTGGGGTCAAGACCGACTTCAGCCAATAATCTTTGATCCTCAATTTTAAAAAAATTACTTGTCTTACTATGTTGGTGGGGAGGAAATGGCATGCAAATTATTGGAGTAGAGAAAAGTGGGAGATTTTTCTCAGCCTACTCTGAAATATTGCCAAAAAGCAGCTAGATTTATTTGGATACTGTTTAGATTGTGTGAATGACTGTTGAGGGGTGTTTCAGATGAAGAGGATAATGTGATCTTTGCCTTTTAAGGGTATTACAACCTAATAGGAATCTTGATGTACTATTATGTCTCAATAGAGGAACCCCAAAATGTTGCCTTGATCTTTCGAATCTTAGCGGTGGTGGAGAGATGTCTGCCAATCAACTTAGCACTTCTGCAGACATTGATGAAATTGGTAAGGAGAAGGGAGGTAAAGGCCTCAAAGGAAAGAACAGCTTTTAAGGGAGAGGACAGGGTAGTTGGATAGATATGGAAGGTGGTAAAAGTAGGTAGAAATCCTTGAAGTTGGAATTCTGTGAGTACCTAGTGGGTTTTTGAGAATGAGACGCCAAGAAGAGAAATGTAATATCATTAATAGGGGTTACTTTGCATTTGAAAAGTTTAGACAGGAAGGAATATTTTGTTGACTAACTGATGGTAGGAATGAAAGCCGTAGTTAAAATGAGATATTTTATTCCCTACTCTAATCTCAATAAAGGCAAAGAAACAAACATAAATATTTGCTAACTAATTCTTGTGTTTTTGTAGGGTCTGAGTCCAAAAGGAGTAACTAGTCAACCATTTTAGTATTTGTTCTACTTTCGGATTTCCTGAATGATAAACATTATTTTCTACTCATGAAAGAAAAATCTCTGTTGTTTAGGCTAGGGCACTGTTTCCAAGCATTTTTTCTTTGTAAATTCTTAAGTTTTCATGAACTTGTACCTTGTACCATAAACTTAGTACCTATCAAGAGCTTTGTGTTCAAAACATCAGCTTTTGAAATTAAGAAATGAAGAAAACCAGAAGAAAAGACAGGATGCATGAATAAGAATAACTCTTCATATCTGATTACAGGTCATTTGGATTCTAAAGGACCTCAGGAAATATATTTAACTGGGATGTAAGTTCTTTTGCTAAACGAACCCCACGTTAAAGCCTTTTCAGCACTGGCACAGAGATTTTTATCCTATGCAGACTCTGTAGAATATTGAACCTTTTGCTTTGGGTTAAGTGAACTTGAAAGCCTAGATCCTTCCTTTGAAAGGTTTTTTAAGTTTCCCAGATCTAAATAGTTCATTTTAACCATTACATACAATCCATATTATATTTTAAAAATGAAAGAAAATGGCGTATTACGTTTAGGCATCGGCTGTTACCTGCATGTGAGTAGGGCTATGTTAGAGCATCTAGATTCCATTGGCTTACTGTTTGCCCAGCTGTGACTCTGAAGAGTTTCTTAACTTCACTGGACCTCAGTTTCTTCATTTGTAATAAATAACAATGGAAATAATACTAATAACTTCTCATAACTGCTCTTGTAAGGATGAAATTTAGCACGTGCCAAGCATTTTATAATGTTTAGTATGATTATTCATGGGGATTCTTTGTTGGAGATCTAAAATGTTCAACTGGGGAATCCTCAAGGAATGAAAAGTAATTTTTTTTTTTTTTGTGAGCGAAGCAATAGGAGTTTATTAAGTGAAGATACAGAAAAAGCTCTCAAGACTGAGAGGGGTCCCAACAGGGTTGCCCTGAAAAGTAATTTTAATTCAACTTCTTAACTTCTTTGGCTTATTGTAAGGTTTCCATTTGACTGTTTTAATCTTCTTAGAACTTTGTTCTTTGATATTTAGGTGAATTAGGTGCCACTGCAGTGCTTTAGTGAAAGCATTCCATGACTTTTTAAATTTTTATTTGATTATTTATTTTTTTAATATTTTATATTTATTTTTTATTTTTTTTAAGATTTTATTTATTTATTTGACAGAGAGCGGTAGTGAGAGCAGGAACACAAGCAGGGGGAGTGGGAGAGGGAGAAGCAGGCTTCCCACCGAGCAGGGAGCTGATGCAGGGCTCGATCCCAGGACTCTGGGATCATGACCTGAGCTGAAGGCAGATGCTTAACGACAGCCACCCAGGCACCCCAAGATTTTAAGTAATCTCTACACTCAACATGGGGCTTGAACTCACAACCTGGAGATCAAGAGTCACATGCTCCAGTGACTGAACCAGCCAGGTGCCCCTCCATGATTGTTTTTAATAATACATGTGAAAATTTCACTTTGGATTGCTTCAGTTTCTGTGACTTGCTTAAAATGTCCTAACCCATGTAGCCTGGATAAAATCCTGGCAGGAAGGATAGTAATTCATAAAAAATAGATATTAGCTTCTAATAGCCAAAGCTGGAAAATTAGTCAATTGTGTCTACATAAGATGTAGGACAAACTCATCATCTTTGATGTATGTCTGTATATATGGTTATGCACAAGAAATGAGGGCCTTATCTCCAGGATGTCACTCAACATCTTCATATTTACCAGAGAGCACCCTACATATTACTGAAAGAGACACATCAACTAGGTATAGGGCTCCTTGCATGGAAGAAAGGGAAAGTTGGGATGCCCCAAGCCACTGACAAATAACCAAACAGTATTTGGAGTTTACTGACTGGCAGTTTTTTTGGTCTGCAGGAATCCTCAACAGCACCTTAGAAAATGCAGCCCAGTGAGTAGCATCTCTTTCTTGGGTTTGGATTTGTTTCTCAGGTGGGAGACAGAGGCTTTCCAGCCCACCTGTGGCTCAATGATGCTGGATTTTCTCAGAAAATGTTCTCTTGTAGGCACAGCTGCATTGTAGCACTCCAAATGCTTTGGACCATGGCAACAGGAAGAAAGATGCAATATGTAGCTCATCCACAAATAAAGAAAATGTGAGTGGTAAACAGAAACCTAGATACATTTAGCACTTTCCTGTGAGGGGAGCAACTCACCAGTATCATTATGAGACCTAGAACCCTTATGTCTCAGTGTGCAGACAAGCAAACTGCATCACTATAGGCAAAAATTCTTTTTTTTAAGATTTTATTTATTTATTTGAGAGAGAGAGAGAATGAACAAGGGGGTAAGGACAGAGGGGGAGGGAGAAGCAGACTCCCCACTGAGCAGGGAGCCCTATGACCTGAGCTAAAGGCAGAGGCTTAACCAACTGAGCCACGCAGGCACCCCTAGGCAAAAAATTCTTTATGTTTTTTTTCTTTAAGGTTTGACCCTAGAACAGAAACCTAGCTCCAAGTCTTCCACTGCATGGCGACATTATTACCTATGTTCAGTTGATTCGTTTAAGGACAAAAAATCTGTTACTGTAGTTTGGGAATTTAGAACTTTTTTTTTTTTTTTTTAAGTATTTTAGAGAGAAGAGAAAGGGCAGGGGAGGGGCAAAGGGAAAGGGAGAGAATCCCCAAGCCGACTCCCTGCTGAGTGCAGAGCCTGAGGCAGGGCTCGGCTCCCACGACCTTGAGATCCTGACCTGAGCTGAAACCAAGAGTCATATGCTTATGGACTGAGCCATCCAGGCGCCCCCCTTCCATCAGTTCTAAGTTGAACTGGGCTCCTTAGAGCCACCTAATCACTAAGATAATTATCTAAATAATCCCTTCAACTAATTCTCTTTTCTAGCCATATTTTTCTATTTCCTGCCTCCCTTCCTTTCCCCCAGGTCAGTATTTATAAAAGATAGCTCCTGTTCTTTTCTCACATTGACTAAGTTATACCCATGTTTTTGGCTGTTCTAATCAGCTCTTTCTTGATTTGATACTGTCCTTCTGATAACTTTTTTAAAAACCTCACCATCCCCTCCCCACTCAGGCTCCCCTCTTCCTTCCTTTACTTGTGATTGTAAAATTAGTATCCTCCAAAGCAAATCTACATGTCATACGTCAAATTCAAACCATAAGTTGTATCATCAGGATATAGGATCAACCTTGATTACACTTAATGTGTTTTGTGAGGGTTATTCATGGCTTCATCTGATGAAATGTGTTTGGCAGGGCTTGCTGACGCTTGTCTTCCTCCAGCCAATGTAGTTTTTCTTATGCAGGAGAACAACACTTTGAAGTCCTCGGAGTGGTGGGCACCCAGGAGCCTGAAGTTTCGAAAGAGACCAGGGGGGCCTTACATGTCTCCCCTTTCTCTACTGGTGAGTCACTAAACATCCTCATCAAGGGTCTGCTGAGGCGTTGTGGATTATAGGGTGGCAGATCTGCATTTATAACCCTTTGAATTTTTCTAAGCAGGCTTGGGTGAGAAAAGGGGTTGGAGAAGTAACTCCAGAAAAGGGAGGAGACATGTCCCCTGATCTTTTTATTTGTTTAAATTTAAGGAGGAAAAAAAATTCTTAGGCATTTAAAATTTTTCTGTTTTATTCTTTATTCTTTATGTGTCTCCCCCCAATTTTTAAAAGTACTATGTGCCCATTGTGAAAATGGTTTTAAAATATAGGAATATAAAAAAGGATATAGCTACCTCATAGAGGGAAAACTGCTATTAACATTTTACCTCATTTCTTTACAATCTACTTCCCTATTTTTGGACACTTAGTGGCACCCAAATTTTGCTTTTACAAATAATGCTATTATGTAATTCTTGAGCATCAATCTTTACCTATATTTCAAAATATTTTCTTTAGGATTAGTACCAAGAATTATAATTACGAGGTTAAAGTGTATATTTTTAAGATTTTTGATACATATAGTGAGATTCCTTTCCAAAAAAGTTGTAGGAATTTACATATTCATGATCAATCTATAGGTCTTTGGATAAATGTTACTATTTTTTTAACTGCTAATTAGATTGGTAAATGTTTTATTTTATGTTAAAAACAATTAGTAGTGGGGCGCCTGGGTGGCTCAGATGGTTAGGCGTCTGCCTTCGGCTCGGGTCATGATCCCAGGGTGCTGGGATTGAGTCCCGCGTCGGGCTCCCTGCTCCTTGGGAGCCTGCTTCTCTCTCTCTCTCTCTCTCTCTCCCCCTCTGTCGCTCATGAATAAATAAATAAAATCTTTAAAAAAAAACAATTAGTAGTGATTTCATGTGAATATTAGCCATATACATTTTACCTAGTAAATGACTGTGTCTTTTGTCCATTTAGCTACAGGAGTCTTAAGTTACCCACGCACTCACTTGCTTTTAATAGACAGTGGATTCAAGATAACTCCAGGGATTTAGGGTCTAATCTCAATCCCAGGGAAAAGTCATTTCTATCTCAATCCTAGGGAAAAGTCATTTTAACATAGCCCATAATAAGTAGATTAGGTTGACCATGTTTCAGATTTTTGATTTCTTGGAGAAAGGGAAGACTTGGAGCATGGTAAATTACTGAAGAGTTTCCTGTGTGTGTGTGTGTGTGTGTGTCTTTTAATGTGGTAAAGTATACATAACATAAAATTTGCCATTTTAACCATTTTTAAGTGTACAATCCAGAGGCATTAAATACATTGACAATGTTGTGCAACCATCACCACTGTTCATTTCTGGGTTTTTTTCATCATTTAGAACAGAAGCTCTCTACCCATTAAAAAAATAACTCCCCCATTCCTCCCTCCCTCCAGCTCCTGGTAACCTTTAGTGTATTTTCTGTCTCTATGATTTGACTTTTGGACACTTAGTGGTATAACATTCTGTTTATCCATTAATTTGCTGATGGACATTTGGATTGTTTCCACCTCTTTCCATTGCGAATAATGTTACCATGAATATTGGTATACAAATATCTGTTCGAATCCTTGCTTTCAGTTCTTTGGAGTATATACCCAGAAATGGAATTGGTGGATTATAAGATAATGCTATATTTAATTTGAGGGGGAACCACCATACTGTTATCCATATCAGCTGCACCATTTTTATTTTTTATTTTTTTATTTTATTTTTTTTTAAGATTTTTTTTATTTACTTGAGAGAGAGAGAGAGCAGGGTCAGAGGGAGAAGCAGACTCCCCGCTGAGCAGGGAGTCCGATGTGGGACTCGATCCCGGGACTCCAGGATCATGACCTGAGCCGAAGGCAGTCGCTTAACCAACTGAGCCACCCAGGCGCCCCATTTTTATTTTTTTAAAGATCACTTATTTGTCAGAAACAGAGAGAGAGAGAGAGAGCCCAAGTAGGGGTGGCATCAGGCAGAGGGAGAAGCAAGCTCCCTGCTGAGCAAAGAGCCTGATGCGGGACTTGATACCAGGACCCTGGGATCATGACCTGAGCCAAAGGCAGACGCTTAACCAACTGAGCCACTCAGGCGTCCCTCAGCTGCACCATTTTTATTATTCATTTATTTATTTATTTATTTAAGATTTTACTTATTTGACAGACACAGCGAGAGAGGGAACACAAGCAGGGGGATTGGGAGAGGGAGAAGCAGGCTCCCCACAGAGCAGGGAGCCCGATGGAGGGCTCGATCCCAGGACCCTGGGATCATGACCTGAGCCGAAGGCAGACACTTAAGGACTGAGCCACCCAGGCGCCCCTCAGCTGCACCATTTTTAAATCTTTGTTATTTTTGGTGTTACACTATATGAGTGTTTTTGTATTCTGGGTATTAATCCTTCATCAGGTATATGACTTGCCAATATTTTCTCCCATTTTGTGCATTGTCTTTACTTTCTTGGTGGTATTTTTGATGTACAGGAGTTTTTAATTTTGTTTTTTTTTTTTAAAGATTTTATTTATTTATTTGAGAGAGAGAGAATGAGAGATAGAGAGCACGAGAGGGAAGAGGGTCAGAGGGAGAAGCAGACTCCCCGCTGAGCGGGGAGCCTGATGTGGGACTCGATCCTGGGACTCCAGGATCATGACCTGAGCTGAAGGCAGTCGCTTAACCAACTGAGCCACCCAGGCACCCGAGTTTTTAATTTTGATAAGTCCAATTTGTCCATTTTTTTTATGTTGCCCATGCAACATATTATTAATGAGATCATTGACAAATCCAATATTATGAAGTTTTTCCACTGTTCTCTTCTAAGAGTTTTATAGGTTTAGCTTTTATGTTTAGGTCTTTGATTCATTTTGAATTAATTTTTGTATATGGAAGGTAAGGGGTCCTGAATAGTTTTTAATATTGTCCATATAATTGACAGGACAATGGAAACTTTTTGGAAAGTGAAATGAAATATCTGGGCAGCCCCATTACTACACTTCCAAAATTGGATAAAAATCCAGAACTAGAAGATCAAGCAGAGGAGATTTCCAATGAATTGATGGACTTTTCTCTGGAAGATCAGGAAGAGCCCAAGGTAAGGTACTGTCTGATATCTTTGCATTTCCCATATTCCTTCATTCTTGAATAAACAATATTGTGCATCTCCTGGGTTTTAGCCACTGTGCTAAGTGGTAGGTCTACAGAGATCAAGAAGACATGGTCTCTATACTCTAAGGGCTACCTGACTGATAGGGTATCTGGTAACCATGGGATTCTTACTACTGCTGGGTGAGAAGGTTCCAGTTAGTAGTTTGAGTACATCACTATCAATGTAATTCAGTATAAGTTATGCCCCCAGAGTAATAGTAATGTATGGAACATACCTAGCATGATTTTTCAGTTATTTTACAATATATCCTTCCTGTGTCCCTGGGAGGCATACCTGAAGCCTGTGGCTTATTAGCCATGTACTGATATGCCAAAGATAGATTCTGAGGTTTTTGGCATTTCTGAATCAACTTCATTTCTTTGAAACAAATATGTGTAGGAGTGTGTTTTTTTAATTTATTGATTAAATAGGCAAATGTGATATAGTTGAGTCCTTGGATTCTAGTCTTCATTCCCTTATTTAGTGTTATGAGCATGAGAAAGACACTTAACCAGTATAAAGCTCATTTCTCATTTATAAAACAGAGAGCATAATAATGAGAAATACTTCCTCAGTAGGATTGTTGTGAATATGATTAAGTATTAAATGCAGTTTATAGTATTCTGCATACTTTATTGTTGTTAATAAAAACAAATGTAAGCTGTAACAACATTCGGTAAATATTTGTTGAGACTGATATGTGCCAGGTGCTATACCAGAACCGAGGACAGGGTTGTGATTAAGATGGTCAAGATTCCTAACTTTCATGGAGCTCGTATTTATATTTTTTCTAGTCTAGAAGATAGTGTAAGTAAGCAAACCAATACCCAAGATAATGACAGATTGTCAAAAGTGCTATGGATGACAGAGTGGTATGAAAAACGACCTAGAAGTTTAGTAGGGTGCTGCTTTTAACTTTAACTTGAGTAACTGGAGCAGTGCTGACATTACAATGAATTTGAAACGGAGTAATTCAAAGGGAATAAGTTTTCTTTTGGATATTTGAGTTAGAGGCATTAACAGGAAATTTAAGTGGAAATCCTGAATGAGGAGTGGAGCCATCAGGACTGGAAATGTACATTTTGGGACCATCTGCATAGAAAAGAAAATGAAGATGGAACACTACATCAAAAACTAATGATGTAATGTATGGTGATTAACGTAACAATAAAAAAATTTAAAGATACAAAAATTAAGAAAAGAAAAGAAAATGAAGACTCCAAGTTTAAAGGCAGAGAGTAAGAGCTTGTAGAGAAGGAGTGATAACCCGTGAGGAGACTGATAATGAAGTAGATAGACTCGGAATGACATCATTCAGGAATCAGAAAGGAGAGAGCTAGGACATGAACAGAGGGGTCAGTTTTATATATTTATTAATTTTATACATTTCTTTATTGTGATAAAATACAATATACATAAAATTTACCATTTTAACCATTTTTTAAAGTGTATGGTTCAGGGCACCTGGGTGGCTCAGTTGGTTAAGCGACTGCCTTCAGCTCAGGTCATGACCCTGGAGTCCCTAGATCCAGTCCCGCATCGGGCTCCCTGCTCAGCAGGGAGTCTGCTTCTCCCTCTGACCCTCTTCCCTCTCGTGCTCTCTATCTCTCATTCTCTCCCTCTCAAATAAATAAATAAAATCTAAAATAAATAAATAAATAAAATCTTAAAAAACCTTTTAAAGTGTATGGTTCAGTGGCATCAAATCAAGTTCATGTTGTTATGATTGTGCTTATCCATCTCTAGAACTTTTTCATCACCCCAAACAAACTCTTTGAAGAGTTTTATAGTTTTAGCTCTTAAATTTGGGTTTTGAGTTAACTTTGAGTTAATATTTCTGTGTGGTTTTAGGTAAGGGTCCAGTTTCATTCTTTTGCATGTGAATAGTCATTTATCTCAGCACCATTTGTTCAAAAGACTGTCTTTTCTTCATTGACTGGCCTTGGCATCCTTATCAAAAATCATTCGACCACCTGGGTAGTTCAGTTGGTTAAGTGTTGGACTCTTGATCGCAGCTCAGGTCTTGATCTTAGGGTCATGAGTTCAGGCCCCATGTTGGACTCTGTGCAGGGTGTGGAGCCTACTTAAAAAAAAAAAATCACTTGACCATATACATGAGAATTTATTTCTGGGCTCTATTCTATTCCATGGGTCTGTATGTCTGTCTTTATATCAGTACTATAGTTTTGATTACTATACCTTTGTAGTAAGTCATTTTATACATTTTTTTTCACAGATCATACTTGAATATATTTTCCTTGAAAAAAAATTAAATCATAACAGCTAAGGCTAACCCTGTCTGATCACCATTCCTAGCCCCTGTTGAAGGGCAACTTTGAGATTATGTGGGATTACATGGAAAAGTCAAGAGCATGGGAGTCCATGGAACATATTGGTCTAGAAAGTAACAGATGGATCCAGACTTCTGTAACTTGGCTCTTTAACGGTATGGGTAAAGTCCTATGATTTCCCTATGCTTCACTTTCTTTTTTTTTTTTTTTAAGATTTTATTTATTTATTTGTCAGAAAGAGAGAGCAAGCACACAAGCAGGGGGAGTGGCAGGCAGAGGGAGAAGCAGGCTCCCTGATGAGCAAGGAGCCCAGTGCCTTACACAATCCCAGGACCCTGGGATCATGACCTGAGCTGAAGGCAGATACTTAACTGACTGAGCCACCCAGGCGTCCCACATGCTTCACTTTGTTAATCTACAAAAAAGAAAAGGTTTTGATAACTATTTCATAAGGTTGTTGTGACAATTAAACGAGTTAATTGTACATAAGCATTTAGAACAATACTTGCCAATTACTAATGCTTTATTATTATAATGTAGTGTAGTATAAGTGCTTAATTACTGTAGTATAAGGACCAAAATGTGTGGCGTTACAAAGACTGGTAGAGAAGGGATGCTTGATGGCCTTGATGTCCTTAGCAAAGTGGAAGTTGCAGTAATCTGATGACTCAGAGGAGAGTGTTAGGTGACAGTCTTGAAGAGTTTGGAGAATGTTATAATCAACTTTTGGAAACCACAGAGGAAATTATTAAAAGGCTAATAAAATGACATTTGTAAGGTTTTATGTGATAGACCTGCATGGCATAGTGTGCTGTTGTCTAGAAGCAAGATTAGAAACTTGGAACTCCAGGGATGATTAAGTGAGGTTTAGAGGTTGCCATTGGCAGATGAAAAAGTCGTATGGGGTTGAGTTAGCATAGATGATGGTGAAAGTAGCAGAGAGTGGGACGCCTGGGTGGCTGAGTCGGTTAAGCGGCTGCCTTTGGCTCAGGTCGTGATCCCAGGGTCCTGGAATCGAGTCCAGCATTGGGCTCCTTGTTCAGCAGAGAGCCTGCTTCTCCCTCACCCTCTGCTGCTCCTCCTGCTTGTGCTCTCTCTCTCTCTGACAAATAAATAAACAAAATCTTAAAAAAAAAAAAGGCAGAAAAGTAGATGATGATGAATCAAAGCCTGGATAAGGAGCCAAATGTCTCACTGGGTAGACTCAGTAAAGTAAGAACAGCAATGTGGTTGAAAGTTGCCGAGGAGGAAGGAGTATCTCAAAAGTTTAGAAACTTTTGAGAGCTGGGGGTAATTTTAGTTTGAGGATGTACCAAGTTTGAATTCTTGGTGGTAGAGTAATAGAAGATGGTTGTAGATTTTTTCTCTTTCTTTCTTTCTTTCTTTCTTTCTTTCTTTCTTTCTTTCTTTCTTTCT